TTGCACCCAACCCGGATGAAACTGCGTCACAATTATTTTATCGCCGGCCAAATCTATAGCCATCGTTTTCCCGAGCTGATTGACACCCGCCTTGAATGTTCAGCTTCAAAATCAAATGAGAAACCAAAACCTTAGAAGCTTAGCATTCTCACCTTACTAATTTTGTAGGCAAGAGCACCTGAAGAACCTGACCCGTCGTTGTTCTGGCTGATGGAGCCGTAACCACTAGATATATTTATGATTGCAGCTCGATCGATACCCTGGTGATCATCGGAAACTCGAGCAGAGGCATTTTTCAAAAGGGGTAGGAAAGTCTGAAAAAAATCGAAGTTTTTTTCAACATGGCACTGCCTAAGGTTGCGTCCACATTGTCCGTTGTACCAGCGCTGGCACCGATGCTCCGTCCACACCACACGTATGAATCAATGGACGGCATTGGCGCTGCGCTGGCACCGCCTTGGCACTCGTGATTCTATGCGCAAAGAAAAAGAAGAAAAGTGAAATAAAAGAACGAACCTGACTGACAATGGTCGTGCCAATCGTGTTTATATTAATGCACTTTGCCAATGTTTCTCTGGAAATTAACCCATTGGTAGAATACGACGGCATAACACCGGCATTATTCACTAGAAGATTCAGCCCACGATCTCCTACAATCTTCTCCACCTAAATCAAATCAAAAACCTTGTTTCTTTACCACAGAGCTTGGTTGAATCAACTAAAAATAAAAGACTAAGTAAGTACTTGAGCGTAAGCATCCTTGATTGACTGGTCATTTTCAAGGTCAATTTTTACGATTTTCAGTCGTTCGTCAGTGATGGCCTTCAAGTCCTAAACCGAACATAGTTTGTACTTTTTACGGACAATATGATGTAGTAAACTTGTGTTGCCAAAGCAACTCGTGGATTGCGCGACTCTCCTCAAAGGAGTTCGCTGCCGTGCGCAAAGGGTCCTAAAACGCCAGTCCTTGCGCACTGCCCCGCTCCGCTCGCACACATACACCCCAGCGTGCGTTCAAATAGTTATGTAAGTCACACCTGTCT